ATTTTTGTGTCCCTAGCATCTACAGATATACTACACTTGAAAAACATGTTAGGGTTACAATTTATTTATATTTAAAAATAAAACAATAAGCTATTTTAACAATTACACCTTCTTAAGCCGTCAATTTGGCGATATCGATTTTTAAATCAATAAAGTAGAATTCCAAGCACCACAGAATTGCTTGTCCCCACAGTCATGTGTAAAGGTTGAGGCCATATTTTGAGAGAAAAAACATGTTTTTCTGCAATTTTTACTTCAATAATCTCTACATGACAATGGAATATATGATTTAAATAACGTAAAGAAAACAAATGTCAAATAAATATTATAAAATATATAATGAAAGTTCCCCTGGAGTCAAGTCACTGGTGTTACTGCATAACAAAAATCTCTTATTCTGAAATAAAAGTCACACTGATGACATCACTTGACTTCGTTTTACCTGTTTTCTGAGGATCTATGAAGAAAAGCACATGATGAGTCCACTGTGTCTTTCAGTTATCAGAGATTTTCTCATTTAGCTCATGATTTCATATGAAGCTTTTAGCTGAAGTCACTGGAGTGACCGACTTTACTCTGAGGTAACTGTGAAAAAAATAGAATACAAATGGATTAAATTCCATATTTTAGTGGAGATTCCATGATTGACGACATGTGGTTTGATACTCTGTAGCAGTTATTTTGTAGAATGCATCGTTCATTAAAAATGTTCATTAAAAATACCTTTCTTATGTGTAACACCAATGAGGATCGGTAACACAAGCAACACCTATGGAGAGATCCATTACCATTCAACATATGGGACGTCCAGAAGCTTGAAATCACTTTCTGATAACATAGAAACAGTTCGGTTATAGATAAATGTATAAAATGCTTAAAATATGTGGCAAATAAATGGTGGGGAGTTAAGGAATGGTAAAGGTCATAAGAAAATAAATGCTGTGTTTTTCATGATGGGATAATTTGACAAAAAATAGATTCGAATTTTGGCAAACAGAACCGGCTGGCTACTGCCATCTACTAACCACGTCTGCCACTTGCTCACCTAGTTTTACTGCTGTGTAAAACTCGACCAGAAGCTAGCAAGTATCAAGTGAGTCACCACAAACGTCTTTTTGAGACATGAGGTAACCCAGGGGTTAAAGCAGGGGTGGGGTTATGGGACTTCAGTCGTACTATCAGGTGATAGGTAGGTTGGTTTGTATAGGCATACAATCTACTTGAATGTAGGGGCCATGCGATCTACAAGTAGTGCACCATTGTTGTAGACTGTGTCACTTTTTCAGCCATCCAAATCAATGGCCTATGTTGATACCTGCCATCTCCGTCTCACCAGAACTGGAGCTGCCCAGGGGTGTGTTCGGGTCGGGCTGTATCCACGGGTCTCTTTTTACTGCCAAAATATTTAACATAAAAATAAATTATGGGCTCATACAACCACTGACATTTGCTGGAAAGCAAGAAATCTAAATTGACCATAGCTTCACTCACCATGGTACACATTTTAAAAAATGGTTCCTCAAGGGTTTTTTAGTATAGAAACTAGTTCTATCTAGAACCAGGAGCACATAAAGAACCCTTTGTATGATTAAAGGTGTTCTTCAGATTGATGGAGAATGCGTTTTATATGGTTCTGTCTTTTTTTGGAAAGGGTTGTATATAGCACCAAAAAAGGTTCTTCTATTGTTACGATGTCAAGCCTGTAACAACAGCAGAACCCTTTGCTACATAGAACCCTTTTGTAAAAGTTTCTATATAGAACCACGTAAAATACATTCTCCATCAATCTGAAGAACACTTTTAATGATGCAAAGAACCCTTTAATCATGCAAAGGGTTCTTTAAGCGCTCAGGGTTCTAGATGGAACCAGTTTCTATACTAAAGAACACTTGAGGAACCATCTTTTTGAGGATTGTAGAAGAACAGAGCTGGAATGTTTCTGAATAGATACACAGCACTGCAGCAATGAGAGAGACATCTTATATTAGCCTGTATGAGAAAGAGAGAGAGAGAGAGAGACAGAGAGAGAGAGAGAGAGAGAGTGCGAGCGAGAGAGAGATACTGAGTGTATGTGCATAACACTGCATCCTCTCGTCATGGCAACAGAAACGTGTATAAAAGAAAGCGTGTATGGAGTTCCATTGTCCCTACCTAACAGTAATGTTTCCATCTTTTCACCCGTCAGCATCCACAACATCCACACACATGTGGGCAGTTGGGTGGGTGGGGTGTGGTGGTGGGGGGGTGTTTTGAGGGGATTACATTGATTCCGAGTACCTGAAGATACAGAGGCTCACAAATTTGTTGATATTTGTTCCTTTTTTTAAAGAGTATGATGTTTACTGAAAGATTCTCAAATGAAACGCTTTGTTATTGTTTTGTCATCCTGTCTAGTGTATTTATTGTTGTGTATATTTTCTGTCTGATGTATTTACTGTATATTCTGCTGTGTGTCTGCACTCTGCGTAGTCCTGTGTGATGTGCTGCTGTTGTGTGTTTGGGGCCTGAAGAACCACATTTCGTTCCATCAGTTATATTGAGGAACGACAATAAAGACCACTTGATTAAACTCGTTTTACAGAGCTAGCAACATGAGAGCAGTCATGAGGGATCACCCCTCCACAGTGACCCCTCTGTGTGAATGGTCAGTGGTTTAGCAGGGGTCAGCGGTCTTAGAAAAGAACAGAAAATACTGGACAGCTGCTGAATTCGGTTGGTAAATAGTTATGCGTACCGTAATGCGTTCCGGCAGATGTGCATTTAGACCGCAAACTCAAAATAACAGGAGCCAAGGGGCAAGTGCTGATTTTTATTCATAAATGTTTAAAATGTGTGACTATATAATCCCATATCATTTGAAAATACAGCCATTGTGCTGGAACAGTACTGCTCAGAGGAGAGAGAATGTCTTACCAAAGCTGTTCTTGAACTTATCTTAAGCAAAAACTGGAGAGAAAAAGCAGTTCCAGTTACTTTCCCTTCTGGTATCAATGCACCATCACTCAGAGCCTCACAGCTCCACCCACACCACTACGTCAGCATCGTATTATCATAAATTCTTCCCTGTGGAAAACTAGTCCCTCAAAAATTACAAATTAGACGAAAGAATTCCTAAGTGTTCTACAAAAATATGCGTTTTGCCTGAACGTTTTTCAGCAGCTGCCCCACAATGAGGGGAAACAAGAATTCAGACACTTTTGTTTTTGTTATTTAATAAACTGCCATTGTACAACTTGTACAAAATACATGTTTTCAGAAGCAAAACCAAAGATTCAATGTTCAGACACAAATTAATGGCATTAGTACTTTGTTGCTAAGCCGTTTTACAGGTTTGAGACACCTACAGTTAGAAGTGATTCACTTTTTGCAGCATTGTGGTTCAGCTCCCCAAGGTTAAGAGGGTCCCCCCGATGGACTCACTATTTGAAAATCCTCCATGAATTTTCAGGGGGATTCAAGTCAGGGGGTCTGTACACTCGACAATGCAAGCGCCGTCACCTTTTTAGCACTTTTTAGAAACTAGTCTTTGGTTATCTTGGCTTGTCTTGATGAAATGTCCACCTCCTCCCCAGATTCAGTTTAAAGAAGATTAAATTCTTCTCTAATATTTGGTTTATCACTTCATTCATGTTTCCTTCAACATGTGATGCTCTAGTACTGTTTACAGAGGAGCAGCTCCATGTCATGATGCACCCACCATCATGCTTTACTGTGGGAGTTCTTGGGATCAGATGCTTCTTTCTCCAAACATGATGAGCTAAATCATTGCCAAAGAGTTCTATTTTTGTTTCTTCTGATTAGAGAACATTGTTCCAAACCAGTTCTGATTTTCTGAGCTTCTTTTTTATCAGAGGAGTTTAGGAACGGAGATGGTTGGTGCAGTTCATCGCTTATTATTCTGTGTATCTGTTGTTCTGCTGTTTTCAGGTCGTCCTGCAGATCTTTTTCTCTCTTACATTTCTGATCATCAGTCTGAGAGAAATCCTGCGTGCTGCACCTGCTCAGGGACTGATTAGCTGTGCTTCCACTTGCATACTGTCAAGCCAGATGTACTGACAGTGATGTTTAGGTGCAATTTGCCAGAGATGTTTGGCATCTAAAGTTCGCATAGCTACAATGCAATGTAAATACGTTAAAAAGGTTTTTTTCAAGTGCTCTTTAGTTAAGGCAGTGGTTATTTATAGAATGACAACAACTCAAGGAATCTGAATGCTTAAATAGCCCTTTCCATGATTCGCCCAGCACCTGTACCTCAGGCCACGAGAGCCGGCGGGAGGGCAGGGCCTGAACCCTGAACCCCTAGCACCGCTGAGGGATGCAAGTGACAGTAGGAGGAGGAGGGCAGCGTGAGCACCTCAGCCAAAAGGGAAAGAGAGCTCGGTGTTCTGCCTCCCCAGCACTGCCCCTGCTCCACAGCTTGGTCGCCTGGGTCGAATATAAGGTGCAGTCTAGCGGCCTTGCTGCAGAACAGAGATCGGGGCCTGGGCGGTGGAGTTCGGGACTTGTGTCCTGCCTTTGTGCCTCTCGTGGCTGTCGTTGTCTTTCCATCTCTGGTGGCTGCCCACCTCCTCCTGCCATCACTTGTGTCCCTCAGCGGTGTTCGAGGTGGATGGGCACAGGGCACATATGGTTAATTCATTCTTTCCTATGATGGAGAACCTGTACAACATCAAAAAGGCAGAATGAAACTGTAGCATTTAAGCTGGAACGGAAAATTCAAATAAGACACTGGTGAATGTTTGAGGCAAGCGTGTGCTGATTTAGTCATGCAGTTAGCGCCGTGCTAATTGGTGGGGTATAAGCTTCCATAGCTGTAAACTATATTAGCCTCATTGCTCCAGTGCTAAACACGTCTTGGCTGATTGACTATATTTGTGGTAAAGGGTGTGTGTGTGTTTGGGGGGGGGTGATTACTGAACTATCATTTTAAACAAGAGCTGTACAGCATGATGTCCGTATATGTCTGTCATTCAGCCTCTCAAACTCTCTCTCTGTCTCAGGTGGGCGATCAGATGAAGCTTCTTCATAACTGCTGGAGTGAGTTGCTGGTACTTGATTACATCTCTAGACAGGTGCATCATGGGAAACAGGACAGCATATTGCTCATCACTGGACAAGAGGTACAAATAAACACATACATACTTCCAAACAAGTATACATACACACTGTACATACATATGGGACCCAATAGAAATGATATACCTATATATATATATGAGGCATATGTATGACCTCACACGCTGACACTGTATAACCCTAACCTTTATGTGTGTGTGTTAGGTAGAGCTGGGATCTCTGCTGGCTCAGGCTGGTGTTACTCTGGCTGAACTGGTGCAAGGAGGTCAAGAACTGGTGCAGCGTCTTCAGGAGCTTCAGCTGGACCGCAGAGAAATCGCCTGCTTCAAATACCTCATTCTGTTCAACCCCGGTGAGACCACCCGCACTGACATAATCCATCTTAAATCTTAAAAATAGTCAAATGAAACTCACTTTGTCTATGAGCCACAGAACCCAGAAAGTGGCAGGACAACCTAATGTCAGAAAATAATCCATAACTGTCTCTTGACAGCAACAATGTAGGCTTTTGTCTGTCATCAGGATGAGACTGTGTAGGTGTCATGTAGCTCTATGAACTAATTAGGATTAGATCATGGGTGTGGGTTAGGATTAGATTATGGGGGTTCAGTTAGGGCTAGATTATGGATTTTGGTTATACGTGTGGGTTAGCGTTAGATTATGGGTTATGTTAGGGCTAGATTATGGGTTTTGGTTATACGTGTGGGTTAGAGTTAGATTATGGGTTATGTTAGGGCTAGATTATGGGTTTTGGTTATACGTGTGGGTTAGAGTTAGATTATGGGTTATGTTAGGGCTAGATTATGGGTTTTGGTTATGGGTGTGGGTTAAAGTTAGATTATGGGTTATGTTAGGGCTAGATTATGGGTGTGTTAGAGTTAATCTTAAATTATGAGTGTGGGTTAGGATTAGATTATGAATTTGGATTAGGGCTAGTTTATGAATATGGGTTAAAATTAGGATTAGATTATGAGCTTTGGTAGGGACTAGATTGTGGGGTTGGGTAACAGTTAAGACTAGATTATGAGTATATGTTAGAGTTAGATTATGGGTTAGTTTTTGGGCCTATACTGCTAAGGATTTTTGAGTATTGATGAAGGAAGATATTTGGCTGAAGATGAAACTCTCTCTCTCTCTCTCTCTCTCTCATTTGCTCCCCCTCCCTCCTGCGCTGGGTCTGTACTCTAGCACATTCTCTCCTGCTGCAGATGAATAAGATATTTAAGATGTTTTAATAGTTTCCTCATTCTGCAATCACGCTTTCTGTGCGAGGAGGACCCTTCGGCCCTCTTCTCCTCCTCCTCGCATTCAGGGCCGCTCTATTTCTCCTTGCCTGCGATTTGACCCAGGCTAATTAACTTGTCAAAAGAAGTATATTGAATTGATTTCGCCTGCCACTAACGAGGACACGGCGATATTGGCTGTTTGTTCCCATGTGCGAGCGCCGAGCTGTTTGGCGTGTGTCGTTAGCGAAGCTTTAATGGGCTTAATTAAAAATAAAGCTGTGTTTATAATGGCGTACAGACGGGCCGCCCGTCTCTCTCTCACTCACGTACACAAACACACGCTCGTACATGCACACTTGTGTTCAATAGGGGTTTAATGGACTGACCTCACCATGGTGTGTGGTTGTGTGTGGCTCCAGTGGGGAAAATGGCCCTTTATTCCCCACATTCCCTTTAAGTGAGAGCAATTTAGTGCCAGCCTGCAGCCAACAAAGGCTGCTTTCTGTAATGAGTGCTTAAGTAGCTCAGCGACGGTGCAGCGCGGCCCACTGCACGGACGTGCAGCAACATGGGTGCACATATGTGGAAGTGCTTGAGCATCCACTTTCCACTCGTTCTGTCAATGATAAGATTCTATCGCCATACATCTCTTTCTCTCTCTCGCTCTCTCTCGCTCGTTCTCCATCTCTTTCTCTGTTGCCTTTTTCTACCTCTCTCTACGCTGGGTACCTTTCTTCTTAGGGATCTGTGGTATATCAGCGGCCAATAAATGGAAAAATGCAATTACTATGGCAACACTTTACTGTAGGTCAGAGTTCATAAGGCTACACGGCACCTACACAAGCGCATCGTGATAACTGACATAAACTAACATAAACTTTAATAAAGGTTCATTCTAATAGATGTCATCTGTTACAAAGGCTGCTTATGCCAAATCTGATGTCAAGTTAACATCTATATCAGCTGGTATTGATTTTCCTTCTGAAATTGGGCTGCTATGACACTCTATGAACATTTTGGGGGTCCTGAGCAGGACTATTTTTGGGGAGCCCCTCATCTCTCTAGGCTATGATGGCGTTTTAGGGCCACTGTTAAAAAAATGTTAAACAGCAGACTTTGAGAATAAAGTTATAATATTTTGAAAATAAAGTCATAGAATTACGACATTAAAGTGGCATTAATACCAGGAAAGGCTGCAATATTGTGGCCAAAGGCTTTGCGAAGTGAAGGCAGCCCCTCCTCGTGTTAAATGAGGGGCAGTGAGTTGGTGGAGTTCTACTTTCATATCGATTCACCCATAAAGAAACACTCAGCCTCCCTGTCTCTCCTGCACATCAGCACCAGCCTATTATTAGTATAAGAAACGGCTGAAACGGCTGAGCAGGAAACTGTGTTTATCTAGAATAAAGAGCCAGACGGACTCGGAGGAAACTGTCTGTCTGTGTTGTTGAAGGAGAATTGCAGGCAGGGTCGTCTACACGGCTATCGGGGCTCCATCTCCCCCCATTCAAAGAGGGCATGAAGTTGAATGAATGATAATCAAAATGATTGATCCACAAGGAGACAGTAGTGTGTGGAACTCTGGTGTTAGGACAGCAACTGAGACCCCAACACGTTATGGCAGCCCCCTACAGTTAGCCCACTTTATCCTCAAAACATTACTAGTTTATTCTTGTAAATTTACAACTGTATAATCAAAATATTATGACTTTATTCCAAAAAATATGACTTTATTCTGTAAACGTTGTGACTTTTTCCTTAAAATATTGCGATTTTATTAAAAAAGTTACACTTTATTCTCCAAATACTATGACTTTTAGATAAGTCTGTTATTATTTACTTTTTTTAACAGTGGCCCTAAACACCATCGTACTAGGCAACCTCCAGAACTACACTGTTTAAAAATAAAAGCGGAGAGAATAATTTTCTTTCTGAGGCCTCCAGCTGTCATTTTGAATAATCAATTTAGCAACTTATTGAGGTGTCCTGTTTGTCTCTAAGCTGTCTAATGGCTGAAATCTCTTGCTTTTATTTATTTTCAGTCTAATTCTGTTTAATATAGAAATGACTTGCTGAATTATCGTGTGAGGATGAGTCTTAATTTAATCCAAACACTTATATTCACAAATCCTAACAGCTGCTTATGTCACTTATTAGGTAGAGCTGCCACAGATTCTGATATTATTACACAGTTTCAGGCTGGGTGAACAGGAGTGAACATTTTCGGTGGTCTTCGATAAAGAGACTTTACCATTTATAAGATTTAAGCTGTTATATCATCAGTATTATATCATAACATGCAGTCATTTTTACTCAATGACAACCCAGAAAACATCAGTGTCACTTGATAGAAGTGTTATATCACTAGACATTAAAGCTAAAAGACAGATGACCCCTACCATTTATAAATGTTTATGTATGTTTATATCAATTATCATGTATAATGAAAACTCATGAAGACTGTGCTGACTGTGTTTACACGCAAAGATTTTCTCCATTCTGATTGAATAAATTCAGATTATAGATTAAGACTGAGATGTTTATATTCTCACTCTACTCAACAATCTGATGAAAGTCTTAGTTTACATGCTCACTACAAGTAATCAGATACAAAATTACACGCATGTGTTGAGAACCAATTAGTGTTGACGTTACCATGACAACCGGCATCATGTGAGTCCAGTCAGAGTGAGATGAGCAGCAGTGAGCAGTGCTTGTGTTTTTAACTGCTTTAAAATGTTGTCAGACTCAGGAAAACGTCCTTATTAAAGAAGGCTGAGAGGAAGACGTCGTGTTCTGAGACACATAAGCTGGACGTCCGTCTCACCGCCGTCTTTTAAAGATCAGAGGATAAACTTCGTCTCCTCTGCAGACCAGTTTCTGCTCCGCCATGTTGAATGTTATACACTTTCACTATGACGAGACGCACATGATCAGAATGACTGGGAATGTAATCAGATACAGGTGTTTACACAGACATTATTATTCCATTTAAAGGATTATTTACAGGATTACCCACCTCATTCAATGGGATAGAAACTATATTCTGAAGGTCTATTCCTATTGATCTGTTAGTCAGGTTGGGACAGGGTAGGGGCAGTCATGGGCTGGAGGTTAAGGAACCAGCCTTATGACCGGAAGGTTGCTGGTTTGATCCCCTGACCTGACAGTACATGACTGAAATGTCCTTGAATAAGGCACTTAACACCCAACGGCTCCCCAGGCCCTGTGGATAGGGCTGTGTGCATTCACTAGTGTGTATGTGGTGTTTCACTGCACAGATAGTTAAAATGTGGAGGTGAAATTTCCCCATTGTGGGACTAATCAAACTTATTATCAGGCTGCATGTAAACATGGCTAGTAAAGAGTTACCGTTATCATAACTGCTGGTCCAATATTGAAATTATGGCCGATAATTACAAAAGATAATTTGGCATGCATGAAAACACATGTTGGAAATTTCCCTTCCTCTAGACTCCCCAGCGCCCTCTGCTGGCCATGCTATAGTTTCCAATGGACACGAATGGTTCTATTCTGTTTCATTATTTGAAAACTGTGAGGCCAGGTTACGTACTGTAAGTTCCAAATCAGTGTCAATGTGTTTTCTGCTTTTTTTCCTTATGTAAAAAATTGAATAACTTGTATGTAATGTATGTCTAAAAGGGGTGTTCATATGGTGCATTTTTAAACGCAATTTGTGTCTCATGCGCAAGAAGAAGCAGTCGACTGACACATAGAACGCAAAAGACGATGATTGATAAACATTTGGAAATTAACATATATGATTACGACAATAAAGAAAGTGGTAATCTTTGTGTCGAGTGCTGAAGAGCTTCGAAAGCAGCCAAACAATGCCTGCTGATGAATTTAGCTATGCTAATAATTCAGTCCATGTTAATAGATAACAGTGTGAGAGTTGGATGAGTGACTAGGGAGAGGGCATCCTTAATATTGACTTGTCAGCTATACATGACATGGTGCTCTTTCGTAGGCGGTCAGCAGAAAAGTTGTTTTTTTTCCAACCTCAACTTGCGTTTTATAAACATGGAGAGCTTCTCAGTGGTGGTGAGCGGTGCTCCATGGACAACAATTAAGAGAAGCATCTATGAAAAATACACTGCCTGAACACCCCAGTATCTCAGTATGTTCAGTATCTCTAACAGACTTGATTATGTGGTTTCTGACACTGTAAGAATCACTGTATCTAGAAACATGGGCTAAATTACAGCAGCATAGCTAAAAATAGCAGCCACAGTAATTTTTTATCTGCATGTTTGTCCAGATAAAAACATGAGGAACAATGTGTAAATTAGATTCTTGGCTGACTTTGACAGTCCCTGATGTTCTTGTATGTGTGGTTCTGTGTAGATGTGAAGCTGCTGGAGAACCAGGTGTATGTGGAGAGCGTGTACGAGCAGGTAAGCGGGGCGCTGCTGGAGTACACGTTGTGCGTTTACCCTCAGCACGTGGAGCGTTTCAGTCAGCTGCTGCTGCGCCTGCCCAGAGCTGAGAGCCCTGAGCGTGCAGGCCGAGGATTACCTGTGCTACAAACACCTGAGCGGAGAGGTACCCTGCAACAACCTGCTCATAGAGATGCTGCACGCCAAGAGAGCCTGCGTCTGACCGCCAACGCGCACCGCCGCTTTACCGCACTCGCGCCGAGAGAACCCACGACTGACCACCTCATCTGTACACACAGACACCATCGCCGTCATAAGAAACTACAGAATAACTTTGTAGGAGAAGGAACGAGTTTACAGAGATTTCCTGTTGACCCAAAATCTGGACAATTAACCAGAATGAGTGTCACTTCTTTAGTTATCCACTGGAGCTACAAGGCTACCTTTACAGAACAGTCACATTTATTCCATCTATGAAGTGTCTAAAAAGCACATGATCACCAGCAAACACATGTAACTTGATGTATGATCGCATGTCATCACAACCCGAAATAGCACGTGATCACACATTTTTCACATCATTTTTCACATGATCGCATTCTTCACATGATCAGATTTTTCTGAAGTGATCATACATTTTTTCACATGATCGCATTTTTCACATGATCATGCTTTTCAAATGTGATTTTTTTTTTTAAAAATCATGTTTTCACATGTAATCATGTTTTGTTTCACATAATTTTGTTTTATCATGTGATCACATTTTTCATGTGAGCATATTTTCACATGATCACATGGGTTTTCACATATGATAACATGGTTTTCCACATGATCACACGATATTCTGAAGCGATCATGCATTTTTTCATGTGATCATGTTTTTTCCACGTGATTGTTTTTATGTAATCATGTCATCATCGCGTTTTTAACATGTGATCACATTTTTAACATGAGCACATTTTCACATTATCACAAGGGTTTTCACACATGATAACATGTTTTCCACATGATAACAGTTTTCCACATGTGATCACGATTTTCACATGATCACACTTTTTACATTTGATCACACATTTTTAACACAAACGTGTTAAAAATAACATGATGGTGTCTAAAAATCACATGTGAAATTCATGTGCTGTAAGAATAATGTAGCTAACAAGTAATGGAAGCTTATAGCCACCAACAAGCATTGCACAACCTACGTGCCTAAATCATAGACTCTGTTTGGTTTCTGATGCAGTATGACTAGCTGACCAATCTGAAATATGACTGAAAGTACATTACCATAGCTAAAAACTGTAGCAGCATCCCGGATCCTGAATTGTATCTGTACAGTAGCCCATATTTATAGATAACAGCGTATCATACAGCGCCAGAGAACAACTCAATAAAGTCTATTAGAAATGACTGAACAACAAGACTTGTTGTGATGTAAGTGTTGATTTGGGCATGTGCTAAAGGCTAGTAGCCATAAACTTCCATTACTTGTTAGCTAGCTTAGCCTCGTAGCTACTGTGCTAAAACTAAAGAAGCAAACTTCAGACACCAAATATGTTTTGGCTGATCGACTATATGTGGAGTAAATGGATAAACTTGATTTATGGCCAAGTCATTGTTTCAAAATCTGTTGACTTGAAGGTTTTGCATAGAAAAAAAACTGGAACATACCATACACACCGTTTTTTTGCAGACAGATGTTGTTATTTCCAGTTGTTTTCTACAGGAAAGAACATTTAGCTTGCGGTTTTTGTGAGCTGCCTTTTGTGCTGAGTGCTCCAGGCGCCTGGAGTCTACGTTTTGAGCATTTTTTTCTAAGCTGATCAATCAGATTAAAGGTAAGGCCAGCCTTCAGTTACAGTTGTAATGGAGGAGGATTGGTAGTTTATTTATTTCTGTTTTTTTCAGTTTAGTTAAACAATAGCTGGGGCGGCACAGTAGCACAGCAAGAAGGGCCTGGGTTCGATTCCCCGGCCGGGCAACCAGGGTCCTTTCTGCATGTTCTCCCCATGTCTGCATGGGTTTCCTCCCACAGTCCAAAGACATGCAGTCAATTGAAGATACTGAATTGCCCCTAGGTGTGTGTGTGTATGTGTAAAAATGTGTGTGTGTGTCTGCCCTGTGAGAGTCTGGCAGCCTGTCCAAGGAATTTCCTGCCGTCTACCCAGTGAACACTGGGATAGGCTCCAGCACCTCCCCGCGACCCAGGAGGATAATCAGCTTAGGTGATGAGTGGGTGAGGAAACAAGAGCTAGCCAGCCCAGCTGATTGACAGTTACAGGTAGACACCCAGCCAGAGGCAGTGCACAAAAGATGCAGTGTGATCCTCCCCAACAAAACAAAGGCTGTGCAGTGCTCCTCGTGTTTTATCCATGTTTTAAACTGTGCAAATCCCACTTAAAAGGATTCTTAGGAACAGAACGTCAGCTCTTACTTACATGTGCAAACATATTGTCACTGTCGGAACAGAACCTCGTATCTCCACTTTGTTTGTTTTTATTTCGAAAACACCAGCTGCCGTTTGCACTGTGGCAAGATGTCAAGGCAAATGGACCAACAGAAACAGTGCAAAATGACTTCAAAAGCTAAAAAAAAGCTTTAAAAGCTTTAAAAGCTAAACATTTTTTTGGTCCTTCTCCTGTAAAGTTATTATTTTGGAGATCTGAGGTTTATGCACACATAGATCTTGTCATCCCCCCTCGCCTGGCATTAGTGCATTAGTGCATGCAGGGGTCGGGGGGGGTGGAAGTAAAGAGACACTGCAAACCTGCTGAAGAGCGAAAACTCACCACTGTGACACTCCTGATTCTTGAATGATTGCGGTTTGGGTTTCAGATAAAGCAGCATTAGTTTTAATGTGCCTTCATTCTCTCATTGCAGTAAAAACCTCTCTCTCTCTCTCTCTCGCCCACAAAAAAATGAAGACTAAATCCTGCTCAGAACCAGAAATAATGTAGAGCAGCGGTCACCAGCTCCTGGAGATCCACCTTCATTTGGAGTCTAGTTCCAACCACCATCCGACCCTCCAGCTCCAGATCTTTAACTTCTTCAGAAGGTCCTGATTGGCTGGATCAGATGTTTTAGTGTTGGATGAGCAGGTTAGAGGCAGTTTGGAACTAAATTCTACAGGAAACACCCTTAGCAAAAAGGGTTCTTTATAGTACCAAAAAGGGTTCTTTAGCTTGTAACAATAGTGGAACCCTTTTTGGTGCTATATAGAACCATCTGTAGCACATTCTCCATAAATCTAAGGAATGCTTTCACGATGCAAAGAACCCTTAAATCATGTAAAGGGTTCTTTGAGTGTTCATGGTTTTATATAGAACCATTTTCTTCACTTAGGAACCCTTGAAGAAGCATCTTTTTTAAGAGTGTAAATCTCCAGGTGGATTGTTAGAGGCATGGAACTAAACTCTGCAGGAAACACTCTTAGCAAAAAGGGTTCTTTATAGTACCAAAAAGGGTTCTTTAGCTTGTAACAATAGTGGAACCCTTTTGGTGCTATATAGAACCAGCTGCAGCACATTCTCCATCAATCTGAGGAACGCTTTCATGATGCAAAGAACCCTTAAATCATGTAAAGGTTCTTTGAGCATTCGTGGTTCTATATGGAACTATTTTCTTCACTAAAGAACCCTTAAAGAACCATCTTTTTTAAGACTGTAAATCTCCAGGTGGATTGTTAGAGGCATGGAACTAAACTCTACAGGAAACACCCTTAGCAAAAAGGGTTCTATATAGTTATAAAAAAGTGTTCTTTAGCTTGTAAAAATAGTGGAACCCTTTTTGGTGCTATATAGAACCATCTGTAGCACATTCTCCATAAGTCTAAGGAATGCTTTCATGATGCAAAGAACCCTTAAATCATGTAAAGGGTTCTTTGAGCATTCGTAGTTCTAAATAGAACCATTTTCTTCACTAAGGAACCCTTAAAGAACCATCAGTCCAACAGTCAGAAAATACTTTTTTGACAACAGATTCTTTATCTGAGCTCCTCAATACAGACAGCGAATATACAGAGCAGCCATTTTAAATCAGAGAGAGAGAATATCTGTTGTTCTGTCATTACAACGTCATACGTTCACCATAAAGACACTGAATACAACAGTCACATGTACAAACACCGCACGCCAGACCGCAACAGATTTCTGTAATGCTACGGTAATTTTCTCTGTTCCTCTTCTTCAGTTTTCACATACTGCACTGTACAAAAGTCAGAGACCCACCTCATTCATTTAATTACTAGTCAAAACATCCACTAAGTACAAGTCACTGATTTTTCAGGAGATGTTTGTGAGGAGGTTAGATATAAGATAATTTACTTACATAATGAAGGAGAAAGTCAACATGAAAAAACTGATATTCAAAAACTGCTCCAGAGAAAATGGGGCTCCTAACAACCACCTGGAAGAGCTGGTAAACACCAAAACTATCAGATAAACAGCACTTAAAGATTTCGTCTTTGAGAGAGAGGAGAAAATCAAGCTGCTTCAGATCTGAAAACATCCACAGGTGTTTCTGTCCATCCTTCCACTGTGAGAAGACGACTCAGCGCTGTGGGTCTGAAAGGATGTGTAGCTGATCAAGAAGAACCTCACTGAGAAAAGGAGACGGACATCAAACAAAGAAGCTGAACAATGGACTGACCACCCCAGAGTCCAGACCTCAACACCACTGAACTTTGGAGGTGTGTCTGCAGATTCTTTGAGGAACTGAAAGTGAGTCTCCTGAAGAGAATGGAAGCTGGAATAAAGGGAAAGAGTGACAGTTACATTTACATTTACATTTACAGCATTTAGCAGACGCTCTTATTCAGAGGGACTTACAAAAAGTGCTTTGTCTGTCCAGAGAAAGTATCTTTGCTAGTTACCAATAGGTTAGAGAGAAAGCCAGTCCTGAGCTCAGATACTGCTAGAATCAGAAAGTCATTATTGACACCTAGAGAAAAAGGGACAGAGTTAAACACAGAACAGTGCAATACAATACAATACAATACAATACAATACATAAGTGCAGTACAATACTTTACAAACAATACTTAATTTAGTGCTCATTTAAGTGCTGAATAAACAGGTGTGTCTTCAGTCTGCGTTTGAAGACAGCGAGAGACTCTGCTGTTCGGACAGCCAGTGGGAGTTCATTCCACCACCTGGGTGCCAGCACAGAGAAAAGTCTTGATGCTTGCCTTCCGCGCGCCTTGAAGGATGGTGGGTCAAGCCGAGC